AAGCATTAAGTTAATGTCTACAAATGGAATGGTCCGAGAAAGGGAGGATAGTGGATTATGGATTAAGTCTAAGTAATGAGGAGAATTTATAAGAAGCATGACTTTAATCCATAATGCCACATGGGGATATTTGCAAGGGCAAGCAAGGTCTTCAATTGGTATCATAGTCTTTCATGTAGTATCTCTTAGCATCATAAAACCTTGCCCCTTGCATTCCATCCTAGCAAGTAGATAGTTTTTAAATTAAAAATTTTGTTATTTGCTTGCTTTGGTCATGTTGGCATCAATCACCAAAAAGGGGGAGATTGTAAGGAAAATGGACCCTTGGCCCATTTACTTTGGATTTTAGTGTTTGATGACCAACACAACCAATTTGGACTAATGATTTTGCAAGTGTTTGTTTTGTAGTCCAATAGGGTGCAAGACGTGACTTGGACGAAGGCGACGTGATGATCCGATGATCAACACCTCAAGCAAGACTTTAGAAGCACAAGTGAAGACCCAAGATATCAAGCAAAGTCCAAGCATGAAGATAGGAACCAAGCCGTACGCAAGATCACGAAGAAACGAGCTCGCAGAGGCGACCAGACGCTGGACCGAACGCTGGAAGCGCGACTGGACGCTGGACCGGTGGCTCGGCAGATAGGCGACCGGACGCAAGGACCGGACGCTGGGCAACCAACCGGCCGGACGCAGAAACGCAGCGTCCGTCCGAAATCTGAAGAGAGGTTTGGTAGCAGCTGAAATCGCGACCGGACGCGTCCGATGGTAGAGACAACCGACATTTGGCGGCGTCCGTCGAGTGGTCAGCGGTTACAGCGAGTCGGGACGACGGACGCGTCGGTCAGACGATTGGCCGTCCGGTCGATGGATTCGGCGGAGTTCGACCCCAACGGCTACTTTCTCAGTGGGGCTTATAAATACAACCCCCAACCGGCCATTTGAAGCGTGTGGAGCTGAGGAAACATACCAAGGGTGTTGATACACCATTTTAGTGATCTCCACTTGCTAAGTGCTTAGTGTTTCATCAGGTGATTAGCGTAGGTGCTTTGCGAAGTGCTTAGGTTCATTAGACCACCGCTTATGCGCTTGCTCTAGGTGTATGCCTAGTATTTAGTGAGGTTTGCATACCTCTTGCCACCCCGTGCTTGCGAGCACAAGAGTTGTATATCGGAGGGCTTGAAGTCTTGCGAGATCGCACCAAGCTGTGTTTGTGGTGCGGCCGCCACCCGTGTACCAAAGGGAACAAGGCCCATGGCGTTTGACCGAAAGCTTGATAGTAAAGACGGCGGGGAGCATCCGGGAGAGGCTTGCGGAAGGCACATCGGAGACCCACTTGCGTGTGGGAAGGCCCGAGGCTATCCACGGAATTACCCGACCGGGAGCTTGGCCCTTGCGAGGATTTCCTGCGAGGGGCTCCAACGAGGACTAGGGGAAGCTTGCGGCTTCTCGATACCTCGGTAAAAATACCGGAGTCGTCGACGGAGTTTGCATATCTCTACCTTGCTCTTTAAGCTTCCGCATTTACATTGATCATATTATTATCATTTGCGGTAGAGATAGCAACACACTAGTAAAACCGTAGTTGAACATCTAGATAGATTATCTTTTACATAGGTTTTGCTAGAGGTAGAAAAAGAGGCCATAGTTAAGAGTTAAATTTTTAAGTTGCCTAATTCACCCCCCCCCCTCTTAGGCGTCCACGTGTCCTACGGTCCCCTTGTAGAACAACCTCAACAAAGATTTGTAGAAGTTGTTAGAGAATTTGTTATCACCCCTTGAGTTAATTGTTTGATAGATGTAGCTATTCAAACATTGAAAGATTTGCAAAAGTCAGCAAAGCTGATTTCAACCAACTGCCATCACATGCATGGTTTCCTTTTTGGCCCAAGTTTGAGCAAGTTCAAGTAGGAATCCAAACTGAGATGATATAGTGGATATGTGACCATGTCTAAGGGCTGAGGCAAGAATGGAGGCAAGGGGGCAAGGCCCCCTAATTTCTACCATAATTTTTCAGGTGACCTTGCCCCGCGTGGCTCAATCGTCGTGTGACTTGTGAACTCATGTGATCGGTCGACGTTGGCTACACCATCATCGAAGACTCGTGCGGTTTTGCATGCGGCGGTCAGCCAGCAGGAAGTACGCAGCACAAGGGCAACCAGCAAGCTAGTAGGCTCGATCGCAACACTCGCAAGATCTAGATAAGGTATGGACGTATCAATTATAGTCTTTTTTAATTTCATTTGGTCAAGTTGGAATATAGTCTACACATATGGTCGCAGTTCCTAATTGCATTCTTTTATTTTGAGGGATAACCATGAAACCTAAAAGGCAGACAATCGAATCGTACAAGAAAGCAACAGATCAAGGACAAAATGACTCTGAGGAAGATAAAGTAGCTAGTTGGCTTGCTGCACAACGAGAAGAGGATACAGAAGAAAAAGGAAGCTCTAGAGCAACCAACGTCTCAGCGCCAGCGAGTAAATTGTGTAGATCTAGATATAGAACGAGATCTAGGCTTATATTGTCAAATTCAAACTTATCCTCCAGATAAACAAGACATGCTATTAAACAATACATGAAACATCCCGTTCGGCTTACCCCATGTTCAGCTTCTTTTTTCAGTCGGAACAATGTTTTTTCTTTCACAACAATTCAGCCAGAACAGTGTTTTTCAGCCAGTTTCAGCCAAAATTCTACCAGCCGAACGGGCAATTTCTTAAGGATGTACCACCCTCCTCATGGTCGAGAGAGCCACCCACATAGGTTTTAGTCACAGTGGTTCAAATCTTTTCCTTAGTTAGAATACTGATCAACACAAGATGTAGCCTTTTGCTTCCCCCTTGTTTTCTATTTTCAAAGAAACCCAGTAGGGAGAGCAGGATCTAATGTGTTTATAGTAAAAGGTTTTAAGAACCGGAAGCAGGTTAAAGTGGGAATAATTGTGCCCTCAAAACTCACATGGGGGAGAGTGGTTTGAGCTCATCAATATTCTGTTAAATGCTATGACAATTTGAAGAATCGGTTATACCATATTGAACCAGTGATAGAGAAGCAAACAAGTGAAGAGATTAGTGCAAACAGACTGCGGCTTACAACGTCAGTTGATGTTGTCTGATGGTTAGCATTCCAAAATTGCCCCTTTGCTGGACATGATGAATCTGCCAATTCAAAGAACCAAGGTAATTTTCTTGAAATGGTAAATCTACTGGCTTATAATGAGAGAGGTTAAGGCTGTTGTATTAAGTAATGCTCTTCTATGTGCAGGGTTGCCAGCTCCACAACTGGCCAGTTGTTGCGCTATCTGTTTGGAGGAATTCATGTATGCCAATGGTACCAAAATTCCACAAGGGGCTACTTGAGTGAATGTACTGCGTATACACCGAGTCACTTACTAATCTAAACCAGTATAGTATATAAATGCTTGGGCCACATTACTGACATGCACCAGTAGTTGTAATTTGCCTCCAAACTCTGAACACGTTTGTTAGCTCTGTCGCAGCCCATGGAAATCAGGGTGCTAATGATTTGTACAGCTAAAATAATCTGATAGCACCATGGCTTTATAATCGGCAAGCGCTGTATAGCTGTTAACGTCCATCTGTACCTCCAACCAGATGAATTGTCATGACCACTGACCCTGAGCTGCTGCTAATACAGCTTGAGAGTGCTTCTCGATTGACTGATCATCTAATGAGGTATTGCTAGTGCTCCCCAAATTCTCACATGCTGCATCGCTGGCATGCTACTGCTAGCTTCAAATTACGATATGCTGCGGCCCAATCTCTGAAAATTTATCCTGCCGGTGTGAACCTGAACCCGTTCACCTCACTCACTGAACGGTAAGTACAAGCTGTCATTGCTCACCATCAAATTAATTGCCTCCGCACTGCTGCCACAAAATTTCCCAAGAACTGTGCGCATGCCCCCCACACCAGCTGAGCTCACCATCAAATTAATTGCCTCCACACTGCTGCCACAAAATTTCCATGCCCCCACACCAGTTGATACTAGACCGGGCCACATCATTGGCATGCTGTTGCTGGCTCTCAGCAAGTGACATGGCACTCCTCTGTATTTTTGCTACTGCTCTCTGATCACAGTCATTATTAATAATTAATAATCTAAAAAAGGTAACAATCTAAAAAAAGGCGACTGCGGATTTGTTTTTAGAACTGTTGTCGTCCAGCCCCTATTACTTTACAAGCTTCCTCTTTGATTGCGCTCCCACTATTTCTGTCATTGCTCCAGGAGATACTTCTGTTCTCTTTTATTCTACTACCTCCACCCACCGTACTACTTGCATATACGTATCTATTCTTCTTTTCTATACTGCCTCACAACTCTTGCTTGCCATGGAAATCGAGGCCCTCCTCCTACTGCATACTGCTGATCTTGTACTGCCAACATACATGGCGAGCACAGCGGTTGCCTACAATCATGCACAGATATGAAGCCAACTATCTTCTACTATTTCACCTTAATCGTGTGACGATCAACTCACCTGTCGCCTACACTGCAACAAGGATCTTCATATCTGCTTCTTGAACAAAATTTTGCCCGTGCCAAAGGGTTAATAAACTTTAGCATTCAAGTAAGAGAAACGGACTTACATCTATGGCAATCTCCACCACGGCAGGTGCATGCCGGCAACCAAAGTGAAGAAAGGATGTGGAACTATGAAGAGGCCGGCAACCAAAGTGGCAAGTGAAGGAAGAAAGGACGTGGAACATTGAAGTCAAATGGCACAGCAAAGACCCAGATAAAGGAGTGCAAAATGCAAAACTGAAATATAAATTAATTATTAATTAGAAGTTTAACGACGGTAGATAGACCTGACAAAATATGAGTCATTCAATGCTCAACCAACCACTACGATACAATACACCCAATATAGTTTCAGACAATACGATAGATAGAAAATTTTATTCCCGGAAGCACTTTCTCCGGGGAAGAAACACCAACTGCCTTGTATTACCAGACCGTCTCAGTTCGTTCATCTAGTTGGTGCTGTTCATGTGGCGGATCAGGTCGACCACGCGGGTGCTGAAAAGGAGACGGAAACTGAGTCAGGATTTAGAAATTGAAGTGTGCAGAAGCCCTAGTCAAAGTCAGATAATCGGTAGAGGCAACTAACCTGTATCCCCATTCGTTGTCGTACCAGGACACAAGTTTCACAAAGTTGCCGTTCAAGGCAATGCCAGCCTTAGCATCAAAGATGCTAGACCTGTGATTGAGAGACAAAACATTGTCAGTAACCTGAGGTCCCCAGCAATTAACTACTGATCGGAAAATGGTGAAGATTAGATAAAATTGTCGGAGTGAGGATTAGAAAATATAGCACACCTGCTGTCACCCTGGAAATCGGTCGAAACAAGGTCCTCCTCAACATAACCCAGAATGCCCTTGAGGCTACCCTCTGCCTCAGCCCTGTGAAGATGTTGTTAGATTAGCGAGTATGACAATCTAAAGCAATTCAACATTCATTTGAAAGTTGCATTGGACACAACATTATTGCACATTAATGAAAAAACCAACTCCACAATGCCGGAAAGCTAACTCACTTGACTGCAGCCTTGATCTCATCATAGGTAGCAGACTTCTCAAGCCTAACAGTCAGATCAACAACAGAAACATCGACGGTTGGGACACGGAAAGACATTCCAGTCAACTTTCCATTAAGGACAGGAAGCACTTTGCCAACAGCCTGCAGGACATCAAGTAGTTGTTACAAACTAAAAGAGACACACACACACACACACGAGAGAAAGCACTTTGCCAACAGCCTGCAGGACATCAAGTAGTTGTTACAAACTAAAACACACACACACAAGAGAGAAAGCACTTGGGCAACAGCCTGCTGGACATCAAGTAGTTGTTACAAACTAAAAGACAAAGTGATTTGGACAAAATGTAGATGACTTGTTTCTCTTCTCAGAAGAGTTGAGACTATACACTATTTCACTATTTTTTTCATGCAAAGCGTGAAGGCATTTCATGATTACATGTTGTAAAAAGCGCACAAGGAAAAGGAAGGTTCAGTTTCTAACCTTAGCAGCTCCAGTGCTGCTGGGAATGATGTTGAAACTAGCAGCCCTTCCACCCCTCCAGTCCTTAGATGAGGGACCATCAACAGTCTTCTGGGTAGCTGCAAGGATCCACATTTGCCACATTAAAGACCACAAACAGATTGCTAAACAGGTTTTCCATTTAACCAATTTTGCAAAGCTTACCGGTGATGGCATGAACAGTGGTCATCAGACCCTCAACGATACCAAACTTGTCATTGATGACCTGAAGCAAAAATAAATAACCAATTTTAAATAATATAGGATCCCTAACAGCAATTGATCTCAGCAGTAAAGCAACATAAGCACCTTAGCAAGAGGAGCAAGGCAGTTGGTTGTGCAGCTAGCATTGGAGACAATGTTAATGTCAGACTTGTATTCCTTCTCGTTGACACCAACAACAAACATGGGGGCATCCTTGCTAGGAGCAGAAATGACGACCTTCTTGGCACCACCCTGTAAAAGCAACAGGAAAACCATCAGATGCTTCCCATCACTAGAACTAATAAGGTATATACCCTGGAATAATACAATAGGTAGAAGATTGTACCTTCAAGTGAGCTGCAGCCTTCCCCTTGTCAGTGAAAACACCAGTAGACTCAACAACATATTCAGCACCAACGGAACCCCATGGGATCTCCTCAGGGTTCCTACAAACCAGGTCATTACTCATTAGCCCCACAATGGTTTAATTGGGTATGAAGCAAATTAATATGGAAAGGAATGGTAACAAACCTGCTGCCAAACACAGCAACCTCCTTCTCACCAAAGAGAAGGGTCTTGGAGTCCTTAACCTTGAGCTCATGGTGCTTCCACTGTCCGTGGACAGTGTCATACTTGAACATGTAGGTCTGCAAGAGCAAGTCAAACTCAAAATCCTAAAACAGAAGACCCAGTTGGTGTAATTTAACTAATCAACTTGACAAATGCAAGAATAAGAAGATTCATAGAATTAAAATTATGTAGAAAATACATATTTGGATAGTTCAAACACTATTACATCAACAACAATGGAATAGAATGTAATCCAGATCATAAGATTCGAATGAAACTTAACATGGGATAACCTTAGAAAAAAACAGATAGCCTACATAATAATCCAAAGCACATGGCAGTCAGAGCAAGGCATAGATACGTGCATCCACAGATGAACAACCTATATATAACCACTTTAGAGTTTCTATAATCCATCAGCAATTACAATTATGTTAATCTGCTTGACAGAGTGAGTAACCAGTTCAAATAAAAATAATGACATCTACATTAGATCAACAACCTAAATATACACTTTACGGTTCCTATAATCGATCAACAATTACAATCATGTCAATGTGTTTATGGCAGAGTGGGTAACACCAGTCCACATTAAAAAAATGACATCCACATCAGATCAACAACCTAAATTATGCACTTAAGAGTTCCTATAATCCATCAACAATTACAATCATGTCAACGTACTTATGACAGGGTGGGTAAAAGGGTAACACCAGTCCACATTAAAAAAAATGACATCTACATCAGATCAACGACCTAATTTATGCACTTTAGAGTTCCTATATAATCCATCAACAATTACAATCATGTCAATGTACTTATGACAGAGTGGGTAACAGTGTAACACCAGTCCACATAAAAAAATTACATCTACATCAGATCTACGCATCCCCTTTACTTATAATCCCATAGAATACAGATGTTCGAGACATGGACAAATCGTTACTAATACATGATCCCATATCTTACATAACCAAATACCAAATCGTATAAACCTTACCTTACATAACCAAATACCAAATCGTATAAACCTTACAAATCTACTACCATCGAACAAGCACTTTCAGCCAATCACTACTACACTCTCTTGGTACCAGATCAAGCGATTAGCGATACCAGGGGTTATACCATGTAATCGATGCTGATGAAGGGGTCGTTCACGGCGACGAGCTCGACATCGTCGCTCTGCAGGGCCACCCTGGCCACCAGCCTTCCGATCCTGCCGAACCCTGCACCAACGAGAAAACCGATCAAAACCCACACGGACGGCGTAACTCAAATACATCATAACTCAGATCAGAGGCCGCAAACTTACCATTGATCCCGATCTTGATCTTGGCTGCATATACAAGAGCACAAACGCAACCAACCAAACCAACAAAATAAGTCAGCGAAAATATCACTACCAACGATCCAAAATCCAAAAACACGACCAGATTGCAGGAACGACGGCATTACCCATGGGGACGAGAGGCTGCGGGACGGAGGAAACGAGGACGGATGGATTTCAAACCGGATCGAGAATGGGGTTCGCGAGTGTGATGCGGCCAGTGGATCGGAGGGGCCATTATATAAAGGGCACTGGGCGGCCTAGGCCCTGGGGTCAGGCTAGGCGGCTGTGGCTGTGGCTGCGGCTGGCTGGGCCCACGCCCGGCGCCGCGGAACCTGGTTTTGGTAAAAATGGTGGGGGCGGAGACGTGAGGACGTGTGGATGACAAGTGGGGCCTGGAGGAGGAACGCGACCGGGGGCGGCCGATGGTTTCGAGAAGCTTCCCATGGGTCGGAACGAAACCCTGGGCCGTTGCTGGGTTCGGGCCCACCGGAAGTGGGAGAGAAGTCCTCCTGTTGTGCGGTGGCGGGCCTGCGCTTCTTTTCTTGGACAAGAAGAAGAAAGGCAAAGGATACCATCGCCCGAGCTGGTTTTCGGCGGCCGTCGGATGGCAAAAGATTCTGTGGACGTTGTGGGTGCCTGGTTTTGTGCCTGGACGCTGGATTATAAGCGAGCGGGCTCGGCTCGCTGGCTCGGTATGACTCTCGGTAGTTATCACCTCCCATTTTTATTTTACTGGTATACGTACACGTACGTACAATGGCGTAGTTAAGATCTACATCCATTTTAATGTAAAACCAAATTATAGAGTGGTTCACATATAATTTTTATGATTTTGGAGAGCTCATCTACTATAATTTAATCTTAAACTAAAATTTAGGGTGGTCCATGGACCACATTTCCACCTAGTTAGCTTTGCCTGTGCGTATACTGACCAAAACCTTCCGTTGCCAACACAGATGCAATTAATTATATTTTATAAACTGTAACTAATTTATGCTAAAATATAAAATGAGATGTTGTCATGGTGCATGGCTCTCCACTTGTGGTTAAATTATGATTCTTGTGTTTTCGTCTTTGGATGTGTGTGTGGCTCATCCAACGATTATTGGGATTACTCTGTCCAAATCGACCAATGTCAAGTTGTCAACGATAAAATTTTGATTTAGACGGGATAATACTTATCGTGTTCTACTACCGGACAAGTGATTGTGTCGAACAGAGGTAATATGGCTCAATCTTTCAGCAACATTGATTCTCCTCAATGTTTTCAGCAACGATGATTCTCCTTGGCCTACTATGAACTTCACCATGACCACCGAACAATTTCGACGAGTGAACAGAATTTGCCTAGAGAGTGAGGAAAAAAAAGACATGTTCAAACATGTCAGTCACGTATAGCCAATAATGTTCAGGTTGGACTTGGACCCTCAAAGTGACAAAGTTGTTTTATTCCTCCATGATGGAGAAAAAAAACACATGAGGTTTTGGTACATGAAAATCAGTCATGAATTGTTGAAATAGCAACAGGGCAGGAGAACGACGGAAGCAGAGCAACGACGGTCAGAGCCAGAGGCAAACTTGTGATCGTACACGCTATCCGGACAACGCCGCACCCGTCCAGAAGCCCGGAAGGCCAAAATCTGGTTGCCTCGGCTCGTTCACACAGCCTAACGCAGCAGCACGCCGCTCCGTTGTGGGTCTTCTCTGCACTCTGGAGCGGTCGGCCGGTCACCCTACACCGAGACCACGAGACGACTCGAACCCCAGCTCAGGAACTGCAGGAGAAGGGGAGAGAGATGGAGAACGGCGGCGGCAAAGGCGACGTTCCCGACGATGCGAACGAGCGTAAGGAATCATTCCCCCCGTGCCCTCCGGTGGCCTCGTTCTTCCTCTTCCCTTGTTTGCGTTTAGGGCCGGCTTTCTGCAGCCATGTTTTTCTGGAGTTTGATCGCCTCTTACCAAAAGGGGCGAAACCTTCCTTGTTTCATCTGATATATATGTAGATGCGAAGTTTCAGGGCACCGTGCAGTTGCTTCGATCGCTGGGTTGCTTTACCCAGGCTTGCTTCAAGGGTATTCGTGTTTCTGAGTATGGTTGGTTTGGTGTTGCGCAGATTGCCCTGGAACGCAGTCGGAGGAGGCGGGGAAGTCGGATGCCTGCGCTGGGTGCCCCAACCAGCAGATTTGCGCCACCGCCCCCAAGGGCCCTGATCCCGGTAATTAATACAATTCCAGTCAATTCTGCGATTTCCTCTGGTGCTGGCTTACTGTTATCTCCGTCATATGATTTTGTTACATTTTATTTGGTGAGAATTAGCTTAGTTAGATACATTTTATTACAAAGTGGTTGTGGATTTGGTATGTTCTATTTTCAGTATCCCCCTAAAGCATTTTAGATTTAAAGATTTACAACAGCTGCAAGTGCTTATAAGTAAAGGGCAAGCGCTAGTAGGAACTAGCCTGCAGTTTTGAGCAGTCGAGGTCCAAAAACAAAGGGATTTGAATCAGAAATATTAGCACCAATAAAAGAGTCTGGATTTGCACTAGAGATGTAACTTGCTCGATCCAGTTATATGATTGAATGTTGAAGCATCCAATTTATGAATTGTTCAAAGTAAGTTAACTTTGTCAGAGTAGTATTTAAACAATGAGACTGACTGAGGGAAGAAGGGTAGGGGTTTGGGATGATGTGGTTCCTGTAAAGCAAATCATTGTGATCCAAACATGTAGTAATATCCAGGGGGGCACCTGATATCCTGATGCCACATCCTGCTACAACTGCTGCTAAAGAAGGTTCAAACATGGATGCACGTTTAATGTTGGCTAGAAAGATTAGAAGAGTGTCTAGATTTCATATTTGAATCTTGTTCCAATTATTTGAGGGGTTTGCTGGATAGTAGATTCCCTGTGTTGACTGTGCGCTATAGGGATTGACAGATCACAAGGAAAGCCTTGTGGTTAAATTGTTATAATGCGTGATTGTGGTAACCATAGTTGGTGAACTCTTCCTAGTGGTTATGCTTTTTAGCATGCTCTTTATTGTCAATTGTACTGTTAATCATAGCCTTTTGAGCAGTCAAGGTCCACAAACGAAGGGAGCTGATTCTGAAGTTTTCAGCTGCCTAATAAAATATTTTCACTGGACAAGTGCCTATCCAGCGTCCAGTCGAATCCAATTGATCAATTAAGTCTTGAAGCAGTTAAGTTTGTGACTTCTTCAAAGTTTTGTCTGTTAGCATAAAAACACAGTGAGGGAGTGGTGGAGACTTAGGAAAATGCAGTTCCTGTACAACAATTCACCTATGTGTTCAATTCCTTACAGACAATTCATTATGAACTGTTCATTCCTGTAAAAGAATTCATTTATGACCTGTTGTGATATCCAGATGCCACATCCATTTAATCCAAAAGGATATAAAGAGGACACTACAACTAATGTTATTGAAGGTTCTAACTTTGAATCTTGAATTTGGTGAGATTAAAATAGTGCATGGGTTTTCTTATTTGGGTCTTGTTCCATGGTTTTCTTATTTGGATCAAGTGTTTGAGGTTTTTTTTAATTATTTTTTTTAATGCTAGGTTGTAAGCTCTGTTGATTCAAACCTGCCTTTTCCTTACTCTGCAAGGAATGGCAGATCACACCACAGAAAAAAGAATATTCTTTGAAAAATATCATCAGTCGTTTTTTCTGTTACTTCTGATATGAACTTCTTAGCTACCTTGGGATCTCCATGATCTTTGAGAGGTTTTCTATGGAGTATGAATATGACAGATTTTACAATTTGTGCTACTCGAGTGTCAGTAAGTTGAGCTATTTGCTAAAGCTGCTTCAATGAATTGCCTCCATTTTCAATAATGAGCAGCTTTACGAACATTGTACACAATCCATCTGAGGATTGAAGAATTTCAGATTGAGCAGGAAAAAACACTCAATGTGATTATGTACTTTGTGGATGTTAAAGACTACACCATCAAGTTTTCAGTGTGACTGCCATCAATGCTATAAATAAATGCTTTGCCTAAATGCAATCGTCAACAATTCTAAATGTGATTTAGTCATTGTAGTTTACTTTCGATACATTTCACTGGTGCAAAGCAGCATGTTAAATGTGTGATTGCCTTTTGTAGCTGGTGGCCATTTATCTTGAGCTAGGATTTTTTGCATGCAGTTCAATGTGATATACCATTAGCCGTAGGTGGATGAATGAATTATATATACAGGGACACTATTTACTTGCTGCTTGTATATCTGTTAGGTGAAAGTGAACTGATTATTGACTGGTTGTATTTTGCAGATGTGGTTGCTATTGTTGAGAGGTTGGCTACTGTGAAGCACAAATTATTAGTTTTGTCTGGAAAGGGAGGTGTTGGAAAGAGCACATTCTCAGCCCAACTCTCGTTTGCCCTAGCTGAAATGGACCATCAGGTTGGCCTTCTTGACATAGATATATGTGGCCCTAGCATCCCTAAAATGTTAGGCCTTGAGGGACAAGATATTCATCAAAGCAACCTTGGCTGGTCACCTGTGTATGTTGAGTCCAACCTTGGCGTGATGTCGATTGGTTTCATGCTGCCTAATCCAGATGATGCTGTCATATGGAGGGGTCCCCGCAAGAATGGATTGATCAAGCAGTTCTTAAAGGATGTTGATTGGGGGGAGATTGACTATCTTGTTGTGGACGCTCCTCCAGGAACATCTGATGAGCACATCTCGATCGTGCAATACCTTCAAGCCACAGGAATCGATGGTGCAATAATCGTCACAACTCCGCAGCAGGTCTCTCTGATTGACGTGAGGAAGGAGATAAGCTTCTGCAAGAAGGTTGGTGTCCCTGTCCTAGGTGTTGTGGAGAACATGAGTGGCCTGAGGCAGCCGCTTTCAGATCTCAGATTCGTCAAGTCAGATGGGGCGGGTGAGACAGATGCAACAGAGTGGGCCCTGAACTACATCAAGGAGAAAGCCCCTGAGCTTCTGTCGGTCATGGCCTGCAGTGAGGTATTTGATAGCAGCAAGGGAGGCGCTGAGAAGATGTGCCATGAAATGGGGGTTCCTTTCCTTGGTAAGGTGCCCATGGATCCGCAGCTGTGCAAGGCGGCTGAGGAAGGGAGGTCATGCTTTGCTGATCAGAAATGCAGTGCCAGTGCGCCGGCTCTTCAGAACATTGTGAAGAAGCTGATCAAGACTGAGTGAGAAAATAGTGTTGGCCTGCTGGGAATCTGGTAGTGAGAAATGAGATGAAATGATAGATGCCAGAGTTCTCATTACCAATATATATGCTGTGTCACACACAGAGTCTTTATTAGTGCTATTTGATCTGTAAGTTTTTGTTCATGAATGATCAGTGGGTGGACTGGGTGCACAAACTACCGCTTAATTTCTGCACTATGCCGTGAAATATGTTTTGAGGTTACTTTCAAAAAAAAATGTTTTGAGGTGCTACCTGAATGATGCTTGAATGCTTTGTACTGTATGTACCAGAACCGAGTGAGTGTATTTTGTTAGCAATAGCCTGGCAACGCTTCTTCGCTCTCCTTGCACAACATGCTTGTCATAAGTTATCAGATGCTGGGGCTGTCGGCAAAAAAAATCAGGACAAAGCCTCAGGCCTTTTGTCGCAAAAACTGACGATGATTCACGAATAAGCATGTTCTGTATTTCTCTTAACACAGACGACTGAACAGTGAACACGACCATGCAAGTGACAAAGCAGATCAAAACTGAGTTTTTATTTTTGGCGAGAACAGTAGCTGAAAGTTTTGTCATAGCACTGACTTGGCGACTGTTATGACAAAAATTGCAATTTATATCTAAGCCTCTCAAGTAAAAAGAAAATTCAATACATTCAGGAGAAAGAAGAGAAGTTAAAAACAGAGATTGAGATAAGAACATCACATCTACTCTTATCAAAGCAGGTTAGTTTGGCCATCAACCAGACGGTCAACGATAGCAAAAAAAAAAAAAAAAAAAAACAGCGTTGATTTCCCGATCTGTGATTCACCTTTACCCCACCGTCACTTTACTATAGCATACCGCGTGTCCACGTGTGATTGGTTGGAGGGGAAAATATCTCCCTCACCTGCCTCCCCCTCCGTTTCTCTCCCCTCTCTCTCTCTCTCGTTCCCTCCCGAGGCAGCGACGAGTGCGAGGCGACGGCCCCCCCACCCAGCTGCTGAGCTGGGCCTTCATGGCTGGTGGCGCCAAGATAGTGCGGCGACGACCATGGTGGCGAAGCTGGCCCGGCATGACCGCGCCATGGCCCCCCCTCCGCGAGCTCCTCAGAGACGGTTGGCGTGGCTCTGCTTTCCCTCGATCCGTTCGCTCGCTGGTTTACTCCCCCCTCTCTATCCTTACTCTATTTGATTTTATCATGCATCTATTGTTCTAAGATCAATTTCCCCATAGGTCTACTATTCTCCCCCTTTTCTCTTACCAATCTAACTGTGATTTTTTTTTGTTTTGTAGGCTGTGACCTGCTGGTTCCACTGGATTTTGAGAGCAGGCAGGTATTATGCAATAGACCTGAGCACATGACCATGTCTGTGATGTTTGTTTGATTTCTTAGTGTAGGATGAAGATTGAGACCATGTACCGATGGTTTTTTATTTATTGTTTCCATTTTGGTCATGTACAGTGATGAATACGGTTTTCTATTCCTGTTATGTTTTGCTTTGAGACAAATTGCTAGTGCTGTGATGATTGCAGCATAAATTATGTTTGATGTTTCATGCAATTATCATGGTCTACCTTTCCACATTACATCTCTTTCTTTTTTTATGATCGAGGCAATGCTCACAACTGAACCAACCATCATGCCCAAAGTTGACATTATCTTTGTACCAGTTCAATGATAGTTAAAGCAATGCTCAATGGTTGCATCTGTTTTCGTGCATTTCTTCCTACCTCTTCTGCTTTGTGTAGTTTTAGGTACCAAAGAGAGGTACTGTTTATTGTTTGTGATGATTTCTTCCTTTGTCTAGTTTGATCGTTGCCAAGTTCAAGATGTAAGAATTAATTTCACACTTTCACCTTATTTGGTGGGGATGATCCATCAGAGAGAAAAAGGTAGATGAACAGCAACATCAACCATCTAAAAATTGTTGAGCAAGCAGTTGGCTGCATGATCACCTCATGGATAATAACACATAATAATGTGGTATCTTTTTTTTTAGCCTTTCTGTTTGATTAATGATTTTAGGTAATGCTTAGGAATTGATAGAAGCATCTTTTGAATAATTAAGCATCTTGTGGCACTTAGGGTGCCGAGGGGAAGATGGATATATGAAATTCCTTTTTAGGGTTGTAAAATCATTTATAGGTTCTGTTTTGTCAACATCATCTTAGTTGCTATGTTCCAATCTGAAACTGAAATTGACATATTTTCTCTTCTTATTTTTATGTTGCTTGGTGGTTCAGAGGGCCTAAATTGAAAGCATAAAAGATGTTTCCTGCCAATTTTTTAGTTGCAGTATGAGAAGACCATAGAAGATGTTGATGGACAACCAGTTTGAAAGTGATATCTGAATATCTGATGATCTTTTTGCAAGCTACATTCCAGATGATGAAAGCTGACTGCCTGCTGGTTTCTCTATTTGCCTCTCATTGCTCATGCCTTGATCATGACTGGCCGCTGATTTCTCTTTTGGGCTCTCATTGCTGATGCCGTCATATTAGTAGAATTAAAGTGTAAGATTAAAAAGTATCAGTACAGTTGTTTATGTTATAGATTGATCTAACATATTTCATCATATTACCATGTGTTACCTTGCCATGCTTTGGTGATGCTTACAACATGTCTCTTCTGTTTTGCAAAATTAAAATGCAAGAATAGAAGTCTCAGTAAAAAAAAATTAATTTCACTGATGAGATATTTTGTTGCCAGTCCATAACAGTGGCTGATTTGTGGTTCAATGCTTCCTATTAGGCACAATTATAGTTGCCTTTGCTATCGGTGGTCCTGCAATCATCTATACATACATGTCAAGTAAGGGAATTATTCTACATCTTGCTACCACGTACCAGTTGTTTGCACATATTGGGGAAAGGAAGGTGCCATCATTTATGATGCTTTCTTCCCTTGTCATAGTATTATTTTTTCTAAAATTTTTGTGGCATCCTTTTTCTGTCGTGTCACTGCGCTTTAACCTTGAAACCATAATATCTCCTCCTTTGACAGAGGTACTACAAGTAAAAAAGGTGGTAATCTGACTCAGCGTTATAATAAAACTGTATCCATATACATGGAAATATGCCTCTAGATTTTTGTCTATGGTACCTCTTGTGTTTTTGCATTCTTCTGTGTTATTGTTGGCGCCAGTGTGGATGTTGATTTTCCATATATCAGTTTAGTAAAGTCTATTTTAGTTGGACCCTTTCAATGATTCAGTAGGATGGCAACAATGAGACACCAATGAGAATGCATAGCCATGTTGGTTTAAATTATAAATCTATATAAAAATTCTCTCTCCATCAGTTTTATTGTCCATAGACACCACATAATGGTAATTGTCGTCACTGTTTAACATCAAAAGATCGGATTGCTTCGGATTTTTTTTTTAAAAAAGGTGTTGTTTTGCACGACCATTTGCAAAACTATCTTCTACTTTTTTTCATTGTGCTATTTTCCTTGCCTGCATACATCCCATATGTATCATCTTTACAATATCAGTTAACAAAAATGTACGGCCTCCCATTATATTATCTTTATAGTACATGCCTACTTGAGATTCCTTCATAGTGACAGGTTCTCTTCTAATCTCTATTTTATGCCTCAGCATAGTGCCTACAATTATGTAGCAACAATTATCTATACCTAAACTTTTATGAGCTCCAGATCACTGCAGACTAATATGATAGTTACCTCAATGCTCATAAACATTTCTGCTCCTATTTTGCACAGAAACCAAAAGAAGCTATATATGAATCTTGGAAAAGGTCTCTATAGCCCTACATCTGCAGGTTTAGCAAGGGTGGTGCTACTCTACTACAAAAAAATGGCAGAGGCTTCATATTCCAAACCGTACAGGGTGCAGTACTAGGATGACAAGCAAAGCAACATCCCCAATTCTCCAGGATCTGCACAAAAGCAGCCTCCCAATTAGATACTTATATGTATTTTTTTAGCCACCTCTCTCTATAAACATGAATTCACAGTCTTCTAACATAATGCAGACAGCCACATTAATATAATCCAGGTCGGGGATTCTCTCCCCCCCTCCCCCCATCGACTTATCAAAAACAAGTGCAAACATAATAGATAGGCATCACTATGGCCATCACTTTATATTCCACGAATGTCATATTCTATTTTGGGTGAATACATACAAACGGAAAATAGCCTTGCAACTACTTATATTCTTTTGCTATTTATAAAGTAAACTACATATGTGAAAACGCTTTTCAGGTGCTGTGACCTTTGCTGCCTAGGCAGTACATATTTGAGATTTATTAAATGTTAAATTCGTCATATACCTCTGTTATTTGCTATAGACAAGCAAAACAGATAGAGTTAATATTTGTTTGCTTAATCATAGTTACAAAAAATCCTTGCTTAGCAACCTTACTATCTGGCTCTGTTTTCTCGGCTATTAACAAACAAAGAGTTATAGCTATTTCCGTAATCATACATGGAACATGGCCACATGGGTATCCCAACTATTGAAGGTACCAGATTCCATAACCATGTATCGTCTGCTACCGAATTATTAGCTATTCGTGGTGTGGTCTGGCTTGACCTGATTCATCTCTTTGCGTTGGTGTTCATGCTTTTTATTACTTCACATGTTCAGTTCATGTCCTTTTCGTGAGGCGCTTGTGGTTCAGACAATCTCCCGATTGCAGCAAGCCCTGTTCCTGTATGTTCCTTTGATTTATTATTATTTCTGCATTTTAACATCTATTTTCCATATTTCCTTTTTCCGCTTTGCCCTTCGGTACTTTGCTGATTGATTAAAGAAAAAAAATTCTCACATAGGTTGGCTAGCTGTTGCGAGTGCTTCTGGCAGAAATAGTCTAAACCCATCATGTGGCATTTGGGTGAGTTCCGTAGGGAATTTTTATTATTTTTCATTCTTCGTTTCTTGTTTATCATATCACTGTCTTCCCTTGACTCACATTTTTTGTAAGGGTTGTGCCCCGCTGTTGGTGTTCAACACAAAATCATGGATATCACAGGATACGAACCTGGTGAATTTCCTATGCAGCTCTTGCTTTTTTTTTTGTTCACATGTGTTCTATTAACAAGAACCTGCATGGACTCTTACCTTGCATGATTGTTTCTGAAAGTATGGTTCATAATTATGGAATAGTTGTTACCACCTTAGCTTACTGATTATACCCATAACATTGCAGCATGTTTCAATTATTACTTGGTCACCTATATCTCTACATAACCTATTTGTCAGACTTCAACTATCTGCCTAATAGTCCACATACACAAGCCAGTGTGAGGAAATGCATATCCCATGCCAGTTTTATGCCTAGCCCATTATCAAGCTTGTGCACATGCTCAAGAAGCGCATCGCTGATTGCCTTTGCCCTCTTCTAATCACGAGGTAAGGCTGGTCCTAAGCCTTATCTTAAGGGATAAATTGATTTAATATGGATTTATTAGTTTAGTGAGAGGAAATGCCATTTATGTGCTATATAATGAGAATTAGTAGAGTGATAGTTGATATTTTCATATATATAGTTAACCCATTAGTTCAGTGATAGGTAGCGGTGGTGACAATTAGTTCAGTGAAAATAAGAGGTCTGACATAGCAGGTTTTAGTGTACTGAACATGAGTCGTTCGAAGAATCCTCTGCCACTGGCCTGGGGCTGGCTCCTTGGGCCCTTCCTTCACTCCCATTTTGCAGGTGAGCTTTATAGAATTGGCATATACAGGAAATGTGCAGTCCGCGATAGCTGTCCATTCCTAAAATGAAAATTGTAGTATTATTCTGTGTTTTGGTTCTGATTCTTAAATACATGTTTGTTGAGAGAGGGTTTCATACATAGGTCTTTTCTTTTATCAACTACATTGTCATTGCCATATACAGGAGATGTCCGGCAGGGGACAACTGTGCTTAGTTTCTATCCACATTAAAATTTGTAAAACGAAATGAACATTTATTACCTGTATAATAATGACTATTCGCTTCACAGATTTAATTTGACTAACTTTTTGGTTTTTAGTTCTCAATAGCATGACACTGACATAGTTCCATGAATACCCTAATCTTTTATCAATATATTACCATATCCCAGAGATGTGCATCACCATAGAATAACTGTATAGTACCCTTGGCTTTGCACAGATATTGTTATCACAATTATGTTCTTTGGCACGCATACATAATTCTATAATCTAAAATAGAGTAAGCTCACTGTAGTTCTTTGCAGCAACAGCAAGACCTAGCCATGGCGGTGAGGAGGTTGTTGGTGGTGGCGCATGCCGTGGTGTCAAAGATGCAATGACAGCCTTCTTATATGTCAATGTTCTCTGTGTCTACATCTATTGGCCACATGTACTGAATCCTACATGGCCGACTTCGTCAACCTTCTGTGTGGCCTACATTGACTGCAAAGGTACATATCCTAGCAGCATGTTCATAGGATATATGCATGAATGCTCCTAACAACTAAAGGTCATGGGATTGTTTTTCAGATTTAGACTTCCATGAAGTTAAATGTACCAGATCCATAATAAAATCCTTAATATACAAAAATATACAAGTGTACATTAAAATAACAAAATACAGAATGAATGTGCTTTAGCAGCATGCCAAACCTTTTTTCTTTCTTTTTTTTTTGCCATTTTTGAAGTATAAGGACTTCTGTTATGAATTTGGCGATATTAGTAGGGTCGAATTACTGGAATTTATTGCCATCCCTTATCTGTTCATGACCGGCACCATTTTTGGAGTAGCCCCAGGTTATCTACTGCTTCCTCCTTTAACTATTGCCTTGGTTTCTTTCTTCAATTGATCGTGATGTTTTCATTACATGATGGTAATGGCTTCTTTATCTTACATGCTGGCCAAAATGACCACCCTGTACTATGAACCCCATGTAGATATTTTTTTGGAAAAAACATAGATGCAGGTGCAATTGATATTTACTGGTTGTTTTTTATGGCAGTTGCCTAATTTGATTGCCATTCTCAGTGTTCTTGGGTGGTATCGTAATGTCACACTATACTATCAGTAGCACTAACCCTGTCATTGCTGAAGTGGGAAATGAAGGTGCAACGATCATCGAAGGAGCGGGTGAGGCACATGCTGTTGGGAAGAACAAGAGACGCCTGAGAAGCTTCGCGTAAAACGCCAGGAGAAGCCCACTACGAAGTACGTCTATGTCAACTATCTAACAATTCTTTGCTGACAGCAAGGGCTTGTCTGGAACAAAGGAATGCAAAATAGACGAATTGAAAAAAAAAACTAAAATAGGATACAATGGCTAGTGAAAAACTATAGATTCTAAAACACAGATATTTGGAATGGTTGGAAGAAGGTACAGGAATCTGAGCAAGCATAGCAAGAGTGAGAGCAAAGATTATTTCCCTTGGGTTCGAATGGAGTTTTTATTTTCTATGTTTTGCACCGCTATAATTTGTTTTCCTTTGAAATGGAACTCAAATTTGCTTAAATGTATGAGCATTGTTACTCTCCAAGATTTTAGAAATTCATAATAGACTCCATCCCAGTGCGAAATTCAAATATGTGTATGATCTGAAAATGCCGTGTCTATGATTACCACACACAGAAAAATCCATGATCTAAAAAGTATGTAGAGTAGATATGTCATGCACCATATAAAAAGAACTTAAATTTTTCAGTTTCTGTGCATCCGACATATCTACATTAAACTCCTTCCCCTAATATTATTTCCATGCAAAAATTGAACATATATATTTTTTTACCAGCGCCTTAACCAGGTGATTCGCCGACGCGCGCGAGGGGCTTCCCCTAATATTATTTCCATGCAAAGATTGAACATATATTTTTTACCAGCGCCTTAACCAGGTGATTCGTCGACGCGCGGGTGATGGACTAGTTCTTTTTTATTCCGATATCGTAAACAGTCACTCTCTCAACAAGAGAAGTTTCTCTTATTATTACATGACCCATGTATTACAAGGGCTCTTCCCCGTGTTCTGTTATTCTGCGGTTACACGGTAAAACAGCTAAACCTTAGAAAGGGTTGGCGCAACCCATATGTAGCCATGGGTCTGCACATACCCCATCCTCTTGTTCAACTCGTCGGCTTCCTGTGGTCCTCGGGTTCCCGGCTTGTATGGAACGGACTTCAGCTTGCCGCCATCAATGTCGTGAAGCAAAGGAGTGAAGATTTCCCATGCAGCCTGAGACCAACAAACACACTGTCAGAATAAGTAATCCACAAGGATGCCCATTGCAAAGGAAGTACGTATGCATGGTCAATCACAAACCCTCAGTTCATCTCGGCGAACAAAGTGTTGCTGGTCTCCTCTTATCCTGTGAAAACATAGCTATCGGTAAGTATACCATGACTGAAGAAGAATTATTTTATCCAGAAAGTTTCGGGGAACTGAATGTGCTGGAAACAAATTTAGCACTAGGATGGAACATCACATACGTGTCCAAGATGAGACGCTCATATGCTTCTGGGATTTTTACATCATTGTACCGCAACCCATAGGATAGATCCAGTTCGCTTTGTTCAGTTGCCATTTCCAGTCCGGGTTTTTTGACCTACAAAAGTTCATTCTTTAGACATTTTTGACCGACAATTCTGCTGCGCCTTTTTCCTTTGACCAAAGTGGAAAGTTCAACAGCTAGAGTTTACAGAAGTAAATGTATGTACCGTTAATTTCATATACATGGCTTCTGATGGCTGCAGGCGTATGACAAACTCATTCCTTCCCTGTTTCTTGCCTATAAAAGAGAGCACAAAGCATTAGTCGTGATCAGTACAAACAGACAATTTTAAATGGAAATTTGTGATTAAAACAAAATCATTCAAGGTAGTAATAACAAGACAAATCAAGTTCTCAGGAGGACATTGGTAAATAACAGTCAGAAGCACTTGCAGGAACAGACTTAATGATAATACATTTAAAATGTGAAAACACATAGGGTACGTACATCTAAAAATGTCACCAGGAGCATCCTTGAATTGCACACGTATCTCTGCTTTCCTAGAATTTAGTGCTTTACCAGCCTTGAGAATGAATGGAACTCCTGTATGACAGTCATTTGCATATAAGTACAAAAATAAAAATTGCAACATTCAGAAGTATGACACTGGCATATGACGCAAGTGGGAATTATCAGGTTATAAAACAACATGGAGGTTCGATTAAGGAAGACTGCATAGCATGACAATGGGAACAATAACTCATCAAGTAATATTTACCCTCCCATCTTTCATTGTGCACCCTCAGTACAACAGATGCATAAGTAGGGGTGTTGGAGTCATCTGGCACAGTAGGGTCATCCTTGTAGCCATCATATTGTCCGATGACTACCTCTTCATGCTTTATAGGCTCCACCGATTGCAGAACCTAGCATTGGTTGTAAAAAGTTAACTCGTAAGCAACAAAAAATGACAGATAACACAGGATTCATAATCTAGTATCACATCAAGAAAGTTTAGAGGCTGGTTTCCTGTCAGTTGATAGAATAAAAAGATGCAAGAAGTAAGAACCTTGACTTTTTCATCTCTAATGTGCTCAGGTTTAAGAGAGACAGGCTTTTCCATAGCCACCAAACAGAAGACCTGCAAATTAGAGTGAGTCATACCAGAGCTCTCTCCAGAATATAACATTGCTATATCTATAACGAATGTAATTACAGGTATCTGCTGTGTCTGTTCAGAAGATTAGCACTATTGGTGATGATACAAAATATTGGGTTGTCCCCAATCCCCACACTAAACAAGTGCTACTCTAGATTGAAATAAAAAATTAAATGTTTGAAAATTCACTCATAAACCAAAGACAAAAGAAGTTCATAAGGATATATTTACCTGCAACAAGTGGTTCTGAATGATATCACGAATGATACTGTATCAACAAAAGTGGAGTCAGATTCGAGTATTTTGCAATAAGATAAAAAGCAACACATGGAGGCCCTCCAAGTGACAAAAAATAATGATAATGATTGCATGCCCTCTCAAAAGTCAAAACTAAACCGCACAAGTATAGGAGCAACACTTTAAATTCAGAAAAACAATTGGAAATAAGTAAAAAGAAATTGTCTTCCAAGGAAAAAAACAATATAAACCAAGCAGTTCGTGCCCCCCCCCAAAAAAAAAAACTATAAAGGGCACATGATCAGAGGACCTATTAGGGGCAGTGGCGCACCATTTATACAATAAAAGTATAGAACAGATGCTTTATAACCTAACCATATGTGCTTACAACAAATTTTTATGCAAAGAACAACCATGCAAGAATGTAGCCACTTCCAACGTACCCATACTGATCAAAATATCCTCCACGTCCATCGGTTCCAAAGTCCTCCTTAAATACAATCTGCAGAATTGATTCATTACATGCAAGCACACAGGTTATGCACAAAATAATCACAGAAAATTCCAGCTTTCTGACATCAATTTTATTCAATTCTTCAGACAAACTGACAAAAGATGTGGTATCAACTTATAACATCCAACCATGATATATATATAAAAAAAGGGCGTACCCAGTGCAGAGAGCTCCCGCTCTGTGCGGGGTCTGGGGAAGGGTGTTAGTGGCAAGCCTTACCCTCGCCTGTGCAATGCGAGGAGACCGTGACTCGAACCCGGGACCTTCTGGTCACAGGCGGTAAGACTCTACCGCTTGCACCAAGCCCGCCCTTCATCCAACCATGATATATAAAGAAATAAATTGCTGTAACCACCTAGGTAAGGATCTTACCTGTACGTTAGCTATGTTATCACGATTCCAAAGAGGTAAAAATAAGCGGTTTGCAAAACGAAGCACGAGCTGCAAACATGACAATATGAGAAACAGTTGCATATACAAAGCATACACCGTTCACTGTGGGTCACACATATTACCAAGTTTTGGACAAGCTCTTTTCCCAAATAGTGGTCAATTCTATAGAGTTGTTCTTCTTCAAACAGCTGGCCAAGTTCAGCACTCAGTTCCTCTGCAGAGTCCAAATCCTTTCCAAAGGGCTTTTCAACAATAACCCTTGTCCAACCGGTGTGTGAAGCTGAAAGTACAACATGAATGGATAATTCGTATCACAGATTTTTAGCACAACTGCCAATAAAAGAATGGGGGAAAAAGCTAGTATGAAAAAACTCCAAAATTATGTGAACTTCAGAAAATAGTTATCTTTCTTAATTATGTGTGAAATTTTGATGCCAGAACATTGAGTGTTTCCAGAAATTGCCCCCAAAAAAAAACTACAGGCAACATGAACTTTCAAAGGAAAGATCTACATGAATAGAATATTAGCATTTGCTTTACTTTTCATCAGCCTCGCTGAGCAATGTAGAGAACTATTGTGCTGAAAAGTTGAGAAATACTTGAGATGAAAAACTTGGACTTATAAAGAAGATACAGAAGATTAGTTCTTTATTTCCAAAAAAACACAACTAAGCTTTTTAGTCACAAGCAAATTGGAATAGATAAAAATGAAACCTACCACCAACAAGGGAGAAAACTTATATAAGAATATAAAAATGCATCTTATCAACTATTGGTTCTTTATTTCTCAACAAAGCCAACTACTTCCTACATTTAAAGCTATTTTTTTTACTGGACAGCTTCATTAATTTCAGGAAAGCTCAGTAACTTACATGGATTCATGCAATACGATCTTATCATTTTGCATACTGATGGGTAGACTGATGGAGGCAATGCCAAATAAAATAATCTGCGATAGCTTCCTGATTCATTGTTTTTTGATGTTTCATACTCAGAGATTGCCTTGTTTAATAACTCAAATCCTTCCCCACTGTCATAGGAGCCACTAACATATTTAACCTGTAAGAAAATTTAACATGATTACAGAAGTCAAGAGTTATCAGAATTCAGGAGCTATACAAAATATTAGAAACTTACTAGCTGCAAAAATTGAGAAAGATGTTCATCTGAAGCTCCCTTGAGGTATCTGCAGCAATAGAGCATTTATATATTCAAATAGAGAAAGAATGATGGAATATTTCCACTGTACCAAAATAGGAGTAAACAGGACAAACAATTTATATAGAGGTAACGATTCTGTACATGAATTCTTGTATCATTCAAGGAACATAGATCTTACCCACGAATGCGTTCTCTTAATCCATCATCAGAAAGATTTGATCTTGCGTACCCAAATATATGGACTTCTCCAGATTGCAGAAATCCCTGTAGATATGAACAAGGCAGCGAGTAAGTTTCACAAGTTTGTACATGCGCCAACCAGACGTTTATATGCACATATTACACTTTACAAATGCAAATACATTTATACTCTCATGTTCTAATATTTTCAGTTATACTGTGTACTACTGATATAACCAAAAAAAGATGGATCAAACTTTGCATTTGTTTCCTACTGTTGCATTAGAAGTTTGTAATTCTCTTGAAATTTTCGATTATACTGCTAGTGATGATTAACTTACCTGCTGGAAAAGGTGAAAGAGCGCTGGGAAAGTTTTCTTCTTAGCAAGGTCTCCAGAAGCACCTAGTACAATAATGGACAAGCAACCAGACTCTGAAGACAGTTCAAGGTCCTTGAAACTTGACAGAGGAGAACTAAAGCTATTTCGTCCAGATAATGGGGAAGATTCAGACGACCCTCCCGACATGATGAATTGTATAGTTTTCTTCTCCCCTCAGATAAAAACCTACAAAAGCTGAGAAGGTACTATTAATCACACATTTTATATGATCAAGTAACTAATTTAGAATCTATCCAGCAAATTTGGTATATGCAATGCTAATGAAGAAAATCACTGCAGAAGACACCCTAACAGGAAAATTTGTTACAAAGAACAGAACAGAAAAAAGGATAATAAAAGGAGTACAGTTTGGTCATGACGGCAAGGCGATCCTAAATCAACATTGCTGAAAAAGACCATGGAGCTCTTGTGATTGATAAGTTGATAGTCAGTTTATACTGAAGATACTACTTTTAAAGTAAAAAAAAAATCTGAATTCTAGATTTTTTGTTAAAAATGAAATTCTAGAGAAGTTGTCCCCAAATATACTAGAGAGTAATTAACACTGGATGGGCTATTAATTATCAATATATGCCCCTATGAGTTTATATTCCTTTTTTTTAAAGGACAGCGAAAGCTTTGTTGTTGACAACTCAACAAGCTTGCCGCACTGAGGAAAACTAAACACATGCTAACCAAACAACTAGACCATTCACTCAAAAGAACACAAACTAAACAAGAATAACCAAACATAACAACTGCAACGGGGAGGAATTGACTAACTCACAACTATGAGTTTATATTCTAGGTAGGAAAATTATCTCTATAAAAAAAGAATCAGTCAGACTGGCCTCCATCATATTTAGGGGAAGTGAAATCAATAAAAAGGATTGTACATATATCATAGAAACCTAAAGTTACTATGTTGAACATGGTAATTATCCTACAGTAAAACTACAGTTCATGCTGCATAGCTGAAAAATGGATACATTGAATCATACTAAGTAGGAACTGACACTTTGTGCTCCCTCAGAAAGAAAAATTCTCCATATATACCTTTAAATATGCTAAGTGCAAGCGAGTTCAAATTACGCATGTATTCAAATCTCAACCTTCAAGATTATAAAATATCTTGCTTTTTTTGCAGTAAGCAATTTGCTTGTAAAGTTTTTGTTATGTTAGGAAAACTGAAGGCATTACAATGTGACACCTGTATTCGAGACAAAATATACAATGTGGCACTCAAGTTGCCTGTGAACAGTAAGGAAACAAACTTTGACGCCATTACAAAAAGTTCTATCTGAAGTCAAAATGCACAACTTTATGAGTACAACTTATTTTTAATAAACATTAACGGATTTGTTTGTTACCCATATTTTGGCAGTGAATTCTAAGAGAAGGAAAAACAATGAGAGGATTGCATGAGTAACTAATGACTACGACGTGTGAGAAAATGTTTCCGCCGATCAGAGGTACAAAGAATATATTAAGTCGCTATAAAAGAACAAATTAACAAACATGTATCATTAATGATCTCTTATACATCAGAAAGTTACGGTAGAAAAGGAGACGAGAGGATGAAGAGATCTCGCAGACTACAATACAAGATTAAAGTAGCTGATTTTTATTTATTTATATTAAAAAAAAGTATCGTCCCCAACCACTCCTAGGAACAGAGCAGCCGCAACAACCAACAATCACACGATCCCTGAAGATGAACTAAACGATTTCTACTGCACGCAGTTCTTTTCCCAGAAAGGTACTCCGAATAATGAAAAGTAAACTAAAATCATAACCCACGAACAAGTAGGCATCGAGAGAAGACTCTACGGCGGGCAGATCCACAGAAACATAAACGCACGGGAATGAAGGAGAACTGACAGAGACGAGGCTCCCTGTCCCAGACACAAGAAGACGACCCTTCAGAGTTCGGAGTCGGAAAGGACGGCGCTTACCCTCCGGCGATCACCCAAGAACGCAGAACAGAAGGGTCGCAGCAGCCACTGAGGCTGTGGAGAGGCGCAGCGCGGAGCGGAGTAGGCGGCAGCCTCTGGCGAGGTGAGATTTGACTTTGCGATTGACGAAGGAAGGGGGAAGAGGGATTTGTAATGATCGATGGAGGGAGGGAGGGATCGCACTGCGCTGCGCCACTGGCTTCCCTTTCCCTCCGCCGCTTTTATACCCGCCGACTCGCGCGGCCCCCCGGCGGCCTCCGTCCGTCTCCACTCCGTTGACCTGACCTGCCCACCCCCCTAGGCGGCTACCATCCACCAACCCTGCTTTCATTTTATCAGAATCTCTTTCATTCGTATAAAGACGAAATAAGTGGGAAGTTTAAGAGGAAATTCCTATTTTTTATTTGGTGCGGGGTTTTTAGGTGAAAATTATATGACGAGTAATGATTGACGATGACAATGCATTACTAAAAGCATAGCTTCCACTCAAATACCACCCCTGAAAGTGTTTGTGGTAGTTTGTACTCTAAATTTTTATTCTCTTTCTCACCAAAACTCCCCCGCTCCCAAGAAAACAAATAAATATTGTTCCATCCATCCCTTAAAAAAAAGAAATTCTAGGTTTAATTCTAGTTAAAAAAATTCAAGTTTGATGTACTTTAAAGGAAAAAAATATCAACATTTAGGTCTCCGAATAGATTTACTATAAAAATACATTTTATAATCAATCTAATGATATTTTTTAATATAAAAAATGGTAGTACATTTTCGTATAGACATGATTATAGTTAAAATAGTTGGACTTCTCGAGAAGTGAGAAATATATTCTTTTCAAGAGAGAGCGAATCCTAGAACTTCTAGCTCTAAATTCCAACTACGGCAACCGCTCTAAACTCCATTCACTCTTTCCAACTACGGCAACCAAACTTGTATTTATGTGGCGAAAGGGCGTTTATACTCGGCTGATGTTTCCTCTTTACGTTTTCAGAGACAAGACAAGACAACCAAACCCATAATTGATCCAGATCCAATCCCACCACCACGCATGTATTCATCTCAGGTCTTGCAAATCTTATCGTGGTTCAAGTCACATCTGATGGGGAGCAGTGCCCCGTAGCAGAGTTTCACCTGGCACGCAGAAAGGCACGGATGAATGCTCCGATCATATACACGGCATGGGCCTGAATATTGAATGAATAGAATACAAGGGCTGAAAAAGATATCTTGTTACTCGAGAAATAGAAGAGGCTCGAAATACACGATGCCCTGAAGCAACGTGGCTCATCATGTGGTTACATGGAGCCGATGGTATGCTCCACAACTCTATGTTCCGTACGAACGGTTAAATAGGAGTACTAGTACTGGTAATATAACAGTACTCCGTTCCACATTATAACACGTTTTGATTTTTCTAGATTTATAATTTTTGCTATGTACCTAAATATATATCATGTCCAGATACATAAGTAAAAGTTATGAATCTAGAAATGTCAAAACGTCTTATAATTTGAGATAGAGAAAGTAATTAATTACATGCTGACCATATGGTTTTGCCAATACATCATTGATGAGCATGCACATGCTTACAATTTATTTTCTTAATATTACTCCGTATTTATGTCCTAGGCTATCACAGCAACGCCTCCCAAAGATTCTACTCTGTTTCATTTTTGAGTATACACAGGTCCGCGATCAAGTGAGAACAATATGGACTCTCATAGTACATGCGGCCTAATTCAGTAATTCTGTCAAGTGTCAACAATCTGCGGAGGTAGAGCATTTGTCTCGACTGTTCAGATCGCCTGATGCGTTCCAGAGTTCAGACTTCAGACACTGGCACACTGCACGGTCCACCGACCACCAGTTGAAAAGGTCCATCTGAGACGGTCAAATCAAAGCGCGAGGGCAATGCTCGTCCGTGAAACCTTTTGAACGATCTCACCTCGGACGCGTTTTGAGGCGATTGCCCTTCTGACGAGTGACGACGAGGCGATCGCATTCCATGACTCACGAGATCGATTTGCACGAGTTTGATTTTTTTTTCTTTTTAGCAAAATTGCACGAGTTTGATGCCCATTGCCCAACCAACACAACCTCCACCCCCCGCCGCCTCCTGTTCCCAATGTCCCTCCACAATCGGCCAACGAGGCCATGAATCCCATGCCCCTGCAGGCGCAGCAATTGCCGATGCCGTTAGCGCTAGCGGCCTAGCCCACGCGCAGGGACTTCTGGGCCGCGGTCTCGTCGGCTACAAACGATAGGAGCGTCGGGTTCCCACAGGTGCTGGGCCGCAGATTGTACCTGGCAGGCAAGTCGGCACGTCGAAGTCATCACACAATTCACACCGGTCGGCCCCTGCGACATTCAGGAAAGAGTGTTGCCTTTTGCTGTGCGTAGCGATTTAGATCTGTTTGGCACCGTTTCTCTTGTTCGGAGGAGTCCAATCCAAGAGGATGAAAAAAAAAAATTACCTCCGTTCCAAATTATTAGTCGCTTTGATTTTTTTATATTTATTTTGCTATGCATATATATATATATAATAATATGTCTAGATATATAGCAAAATGAATGAAACAAAACAAATCAAAGCGACTTATAATTTGGAACGGAGGGAGTAGTAATTTTATCGGCTCTTAGTTCATTTCTAAAAGCGATAAAATAGCTCCTAGCTAGAGTGCAAAGTATTGTTTCTTTTATTATAATATGGGATTATGACCATATGTTACACTAAAAAGATGATTATACTCGTGCATCGCAACATAAAAAAAAAAAAATAAATAAACCACGATTTTGTATTCTTTGTTTTCATCTCTTGAAAATGCTCCTCCAATCAAAGATGGCGTGGATTAGTGATGAGAACACGAAATCTTATCCGTTTCTCTTGTTTGGCTTCTCCTAGGATAGCGTGAGAGTTATATGTGCTGAGACCCACACCACAAAATAATACTCCTATAAATAAATAAACAATTAAAAATATTATTTCTTTCCCATAAGGCTGTAACCCCGTTTTACGTCTATTCTACGCATCTCCATGTCCATTAGATCTCATTGAGGTCCGACCTTCTCCGCCAAGCTTATAGTCAAGTTTTTGGTTTATCCGTAATTAAGCGAATTGAGACAAGACGGAGGTGTGTGAAGTCATGATTACCAGTTCTTTTGCGCAAGGTTCTTAAACTTCTACTCTCTCGGTCC